ACAGCTGATCCCTGACATGTCAAGACTCTCATCATACGCTTCATATTTAAACATTAATACCACCTACAAAGACAGACACGGCCGCAGTCTGCTGAAATATGAAAGCCAAAGGAAAGAGGAGGAAGACGACGACATGATCAGAGACTCATTTACACACACGATGAACCTCATTCATGAAGCACGGACATCAGCCATGAATCTACTCTCATGCACATCGCTGCATTGAACGGAATGAGACCATTTATAAAAGAAACGACATTTACACTGACATTTGTTCTGCTCCAATAAGCAGCAGAATACAAAACAATACAATGATTATTTTTAAGACGGTACTGAACATGCAGCGCCGCTTTCCGTCTCACATGTGACATTCAGACATGATTGTGTTTATCTGAAAAAACAAAACAAAATATATTTTACATTTACGCTGAATAGATGTTGTAAACAGTGAATCTCAAAGAAATATACGTTCAACCTTCATATACCAAAATATATTTTAAAATGTATTTCAGAGGCAAGAAAACACATTTCCAATCTTACAGTATAGCCTACATTTAGGCTTTATTCATTGCTTATTTTTATTCAAATGTGAAATACATTCACACGTGTTACAGACAACAAATAAAGTTTTTCTTCAAATTTGACATTTGTGAATGTATTTTCTTGGATTAAAATATATGGAGGGCAAAATATATATTTTTAAATGCTTTTAAAAATACATTTATGTTTTTAAAATATATTTTAAAAAATATACAAAAAAAAAATGGTGCACAAATATATTGGTAGAAAATATATTTTACCAAAAATATTTTGGGCCATTTTTGGGATAAAAAAAAAGAAAGAAAAAAAAAAAAGAAAATTATATATATATATATATTTTCACACAATGAGGTGTGCGTAACGGCAGCGATTATGATAGTAGAACTCAAAAGGTGGGCAGCAAAACGCAACTGACTTTGTGAAAATAAATAGGACGAGCTGTAAAGCGCATCAGTGCAATGGAACAACTCCAGCAGAGAGTCTCCGAATGACCAGGAAAGTGATGCAGTTCTGGTCGATATGAAGTGATTGTTGCTGCTTTGCACTGATGGCCTGCGGATGAGCGGCGAACGCTTCGAGAGTTCGAGGAGAACCGGAAGCCCATCCGAATCTCTAATACGGTATTCCGGTAATAATTACCAGCATTAGCATCTGCCGTGTGCAACCGATCTGACACCTGAGAATTTGGTAACATGAGGGAGAAAAGCTGGAATGCATCTAAAAGATTCGATTTTAATAGAATCTTGATCTTAATGAGAGTGAATGCATTCCAAATCTGTAGACTATTTTCACATGCTGTGTCCATTTGGACCCAAAGAATCATTATTTTATGACACAGTCATAACTTAATATTTTTCAACTAAAACCATGTTGAATCTGATCAGCAACTTCTCATTAATGAGTGAATGTGAAAACAAGTCAAAGTGTTAAATGTTACCATGTTATTACTGCATTTACCACTGTTTTATTCATTAAAAATTGAGAAATTCTTTCAAATGGCACAAAAAACTATGATGTATTTTCTTCAATATTGATGAGAAATTTTATTATAATAGTTATAAGAATCACATCCAATATAAAATACAATTTTTTTATAAATTTTGAAATTTGTAAGATCATATAATCTGAGAATTACCAGAATTAACTCCATTGGAATGAATGGAATTCAGTTAAATTCCTTTGAATTTATAACTCATAATTGCTCAAAAACAGTCCTAATTTATGAAAATTACATATTTATTTCTAGCAAAAAAAAAATTAAAACAACATAAATATTACTCTGAAAAATAAATCCATTTACCTGCTTTTACTTTAACTTTTAGATGAAAAAAAGTGATAATTTTTTACACGCGCACGCACACACACACACACACACACACACACACACACACACACAGAGAGACACGCACACACACACAAACACACACACACATATATATACACAAAAAATGGCCAGAAATATATTGGTAGAAAATATATTAACGCAAATATATTTATTTAGCTTTATGTATATTTTGAAATATATTTAAATATATATTTGACAAATTCATTTCGAATGCGATACGAGGGTAAAGTCTTACAACAAACAGTTGTATTGTGCCAGACCACCTGAAGTCCAGTATAACATCTGGCTCCTGAAGCAGAAGCAGCGATACAGAGGAGCTGAAGGTGATCAGAAGCTCCTGGGAATCATCTATCCAGCTTCACAGAGCTGATCTGGGAACAGTTCTCTCACACACACTAAATATAGACGCCTCTGGCCTTCATCCAGACACTTCTGGACCAGGAGGGTTTCCATCTAATTATCAGACAGAAGCCTTTCCAAGAACAAACCGAAGCCCGTCTGGAAACACCACGGACAGCCGGATCATCACGAGTCCATAATGTGTTCCTCAGAAGAATCAGAAAAGCAATACTGAAGCCATTAGTGTTAACAAGCGGCGGTGAAGCCATCAAACACTGACCTATCAGTGACTCGCAGCCGTCAGTCGAGATTGATCACGCTTTATTACCTTTAAGATGCTTAAGAGGGACTTCTTATCAGTTTAATTACAGATGCTCGTTCATTAATGAAGAGTCTGTAAAACACGGTACTGTACCTTTAAGAAGAACTGCTCAGAATTTAGATCAACTCCTCCATAAAGGTGCATAAAGTGCCATAGAAATAAAAGAGACCTGACTTGTTCTTTTGACATTCAGGAGATCTTTGCACTATAAAAACATAATGTAAGTTTCAGAACTGAAAATGTCCTTGTTTATTGAAACCTCGGCTTGTTTTCTACTTCTACACTCTTCACAATTAGTTCATCTCAGCAGCTGCAATAGTAAAAACGTTCCTGGGAATCATCTGTCCAGCTTCACAGAGCTGATCTGGGAACAGTTCTCTCACACACACTAAATATAGACGCCTCTGGCCGTCATCCAGACACTTCTGGACCAGGAGGGTTTCCATCTAATTATCAGACAGAAACCTTTCCAAGAACAAACCGAAGCGCGTCTGGAAACACCACGGACAGCCGGATCATCACGAGTCCATAATGTGTTCCTCAGAAGAATCAGAAAAGCAATACTGAAGCCATTAGTGTTAACAAGCGGCGGTGAAGCCATCAAACACTGACCTATCACCTGAAGTCCAGTATAACATCTGGCTCCTGAAGCAGAAGCAGCGATACAGAGGAGCTGAAGGTGATCAGAAGCTCCTGGGAATCATCTGTCCAGCTTCACAGAGCTGATCTGGGAACAGTTCTCTCACACACACTAAATATAGACGCCTCTGGCCGTCATCCAGACACTTCTGGACCAGGAGGGTTTCCATCTAATTATCAGACAGAAACCTTTCCAAGAACAAACCGAAGCGCGTCTGGAAACACCACGGACAGCCGGATCATCACGAGTCCATAATGTGTTCCTCAGAAGAATCAGAAAAGCAATACTGAAGCCATTAGTGTTAACAAGCGGCGGTGAAGCCATCAAACACTGACCTATCAGTGACTCGCAGCCGTCAGTCGAGATTGATCACGCTTTATTACCTTTAAGATGCTTAATAGGGACTTCTTATCAGTTTAATTACAGATGCTCGTTCATTGATGAAGAGTCTGTAAAACACGGTACTGTACCTTTAAGAAGAACTGCTCAGAATTTAGATCAACTCCTCCATAAAGGTGCATAAAGTGCCATAGAAATAAAAGAGACCTGACTTGTTCTTTTGACATTCAGGAGATCTTTGCACTATAAAAACATAATGTAAGTTTCAGAACTGAAAATGTCCTTGTTTATTGAAACCTCGGCTTGTTTTCTACTTCTACACTCTTCACAATTAGTTCATCTCAGCAGCTGCAATAGTAAAAACGTTCAAAAGGTTTTCAAAACATGTCATGCTTATTTCATATGCAATGACGTTAGCCAATCACAGCAGTGGGCGTTTACATTAAAGTCTTACAAGACACGCCCATTTGAACAGTGTGTTTAAATCAGAGGGCTAAAATCAGGGTTTTATTTCTAAATTATGACAGTTTTTGATGTAAAAATCCTAATGACACTATAAGTGCACTTCATGAAACTTTATACAATAAAAAAAAAATGCAGTTCATGGCCCAAACAGTCAAACATCAACCAAACATCTGACGGTAGCCATTGACTTCCATAGTATTTTTTTTCCATACTATGGAAGGCAATGGCTACCGTCAACTGTTTGGTTACAACATTCCTCAAAATATGTTTAGTGTTCAACTCACAGTTTGGAATAAGTGGATGGTGTGTTATTATTATAATACAAAATGGGTATATTGTATGTTTATTTTAGAAAGAAACTACTGATTTGATTCGAAGTACCTTAGACGCTTGAGCTTGTGTTTGTAGTAAGCTAAAATCACTATTAAAATGTAAATAGTGTATTAATGACAATGTAATGCAAGTTTGTTTCATTGTGTCTGACAGGCCTACCTTTCCCTGAATGGTGCACAGGGCTCCTAACTTCTGACAGAAGGCATAGATTCAACAGAAGAAAGAAACTCATACAGGTTTGGAACAAATTGAGGATGAGTAAATTCATTTTTGGGTGAACTATCCCTTTAAGAGCACAAAATAGTTACCTCCTTGCATTAAAATCAGAGCACAATAATTTGTGCATGAAGTAGCCTACAGATTAATTTAAGCCTGATAATCATGCTGTTGGTTCTCATGTGTCATGTGACTGATTGCAATGCAACAAGATTGAATATTTAATACAAATGTACTGCAAATATGAGATTTTTGCGTGGAAGTAACTCTTGCATGTGCTGTTGAGGAATATCTGGAGATGACTTCTCTCAGGAGGAAGAAGGGTCTTTAATAAAACTGCACGTAAGTGACACCAAATGAGTGTGTTTCTACCTCGAAGCATGTTCGGATCGGTTCTGCTCATCTGTGCTGCAGGTGTTCAATGAAGCAACATCTCCACATCTGCCGGAATCCAATTTATTAAAGAGATTCCCTGCAAATGCATCAGAGCATTAAGTGTAGACTACAACATTTACGTGCCTTTAGGTCTGTATTTGACCAGCGCTCGGATTCTGTATCGATAATAAATGTCACACACCTGACAAGCAGACGCTTTATCAGTGATCTCCACTTGAAAAGGTCCTCGTCTCACTCTGGAAGAACCAGCAGAAAGACAAATGGCTAAAACGGTGCGGTGACAATATTGGGCGTGATTCTTCTTTTTCTGTGTGTGTGGCGTTTGGTTAATAATGCCCTGACCGTTTCATTATAGTAATCAGAGAGCGATCGGCCGGCGCTGGCAGAATAAGTGAGAGCACACACACTCACAGAGACACACAGACACACACACACACACACTCACAGAGACACACAGACACACAGACACACACACAGACACAGACTCACAGACACACACACTCACAGACACACACTCACACACGACAAATTGGAATTGCCTTTTGCAGTCGGCAGCCCCTACAAAACACACACCCCTCTCTCTCTCTCTCGCACGCTCCTAAATTACACCTACTTCTCCGACGGGGCGGCAACAGAGAGAAAACACAAAGAGAGACGGGTCATTCCTGTTATCATGCACTAAAACATTAGTAACATTAAAAATGTATATGCTTGCGTTGGAATTTGAACTCAATAATGACTATTTACATTTGCACTTACGTTGCATTCGAGATTCACATTTCATCAGACCATGCATATTTATCATTGTTTCGGAGAGACACAAACCAACCAACATCACAGAATTCAAATACATTGATACTTACCGATACATTTCCCTCCAAAATGATGTCACTTCCTGGAGGATGATGTCATTAACCCTGTAAAGCCTGACATATGAATAATGATATATTCAATAAAATGTAATAAAATTGGAAAAAAAATTTCTATACAATTTTCAATATTTTTCAAAATATACAAAAAATGTCTAAAAAAATATATTTGGTAAAACATGTTTCAAAATATATTTACGTAAATATATTTTATATTTTTCAGCCCTTTTTTGTACATTTTCAAAAATGTATTTAAAAAATATAAATATACATTTTTAAAAGCAATTAAAAATATTTTGCCCTTCATATATTTTAATCCAAGAAAATACATTCACATATGTTATTTGAAGAAAAACTTTTTGTTGTTTATAATGTTTGAACACATTTAAATAAAAATAAGTAATACATTTTAAGTAAAATTTAAAAATTATATTTAATACAATTTAAAATTTTTATTTAATCAAATATTGTATTTATTACATATACAAATGTATTTTCTTGGATTAAAATATATGAAGGGCAAAACATTTTTAATGCTTTTAAAATATATATATATTAATATTTTTTAAATATGTATAAAACTAGCTAAAATATATTAGTAGAAAATATATTTATGTAAATAGATTTTAATATATATTTACGTGAATTTTAATAAATACAATTTTTAAATAAAATGAAAAAAAAAAAAAAACTTTAAAGGGGTCCTATTATGATCGTTTACAAAGTCTTGATTTTGTTTTGGGGGTGTACTAGAGGGCCAGCGTGTGCTGTGATTGGTTGGCTGGGCCAGCGTGTGCTGTGATTGGTTGGCTGGGCCCCTGTAAAGCCTGACATATGAATAATGGTTTAGTTTTGGAACAGTTTGCTGAACGTGCAGACAAAAAAAAAAAGAAAGATTTGCATGTGTCTTTTTGTTGAGTATCATATTTGATGCTCATATAGTGAGAATATGGAGGAAAAACAGCTCAATGTTATTTAGAGACTCAAACTGAGCAAAAATATGAATTTGCTGCAGATGCTGATATTTATATGTTTGTAATGTAAATCAGTGAGATCTTTATAACAGTAGAGCAGATACTGACATAAAATGAGCTAAATATCAGTTGTCACTCTATATCCCAGTAATAAGATGAGATTGAAATGATCCAAACATACATATTTGACTGATTATCATATTCTGGTTCCTCAAGCGCTTCACAAACACGATCTCAATCGCTTCATTAGTACAAACATGTTCTCTGTGCAGGAACTCCAGGCTGTTTTTGGCCTGTGGGAAAATAAAAACACACAGAAACGTTCAACAGCTCGTATTAGAAAGAGCGACGACACGTTTTAAATGCAAGTTAGTCTAGGCAAATGTCAGAGATTCCAGCCTGAGAGCAGATGAAGCGCTCGAGCAGACGACACTTTGATGGAGCGCGCTTCATTTACACGTGATTGACAGCCGAGACTTACATTACCAGAAACCAACCCGCTGATCTCCAAAGAAGCATATACTCAAGAAGCTCTGCATTAGGAACATTCAGCTCCACCTTGTAAAGCTCAGGCACCTTTAGGCCCGGTGACATATAATACGTCTCTGGAGCCCAACACAGTCACGGTTTTAATAACCTACACACCTTCCCCTTCAGTGACACTAATGTTAGACCGATCGACCTGAACACACACCTCCTCTCTCTCTCTCTCTCTCTCTCGCTCGCTCTCTCGCTCGCTCTCTCTCTCGCTCTCTCTCTCTCTCTCTCTCTCGCTCTCTCTCTCTCTCTCTCTCTCTCTCGCTCTCTCTCGCTCTCTCTCGCTCTCTCTCGCTCTCTCGCTCTCTCTGCACCGACTGCTGTGACTTATAGCAGGAGACTTCAATAAGCCAGCGGCTAATGCAATTAGAAACAAAGAACACTATTTATTATAGCGGCGCTGGAGCCGTGGGCCAGAGGATGCTGCGTGTGTGTGGAGGTCAGGAGAACTGGACACATTTCATTAGGAGAACACATATTCACAGATGATTGAAGGAGAGTCTTGCTCCTCTTAGGATGAGAGTCCTCTTGAGTAGACAGTCTCTCATGAGGGAATATTTCAGGCTTTCTTCGGAGGAAGATTAAAAACACCTGACTACAGAAGAAACCTGATGATCAGACCAACCAATGCCACCAGCAATGTCATGAACTTAATCATGCGATGCAAGGTCACGGGTTCGTAAATGCCACAGTTATACACAGCAGTATTTACCTAAACATATTTTCTAAAACAATTCAATCTAAGATCACAGGTTTGAATCGATTAGTTGAAACGGACAGACTGAACTTGTTCCTGGAACTGAATAGAACTTAATTTTTCTGTACTTAAAATCAGATGTTAATAAAACCTCTCTGTCTGACGCTCTCATCAGTGTTGTTTTTGTTAACTCAAAATTCAAATGAATGAATAAATGAACAAATAAAGGAACGAACGAATGAATGAATAAATGAACAAACGAATGAATGAATAAATGAACAAATAAATGAACATATAGTGATAGTGATTTTTATATATATATATATATATACTGTATACACACACACATTGTCCAGCATTAACTGAGATAAAGAATAAATCTGTTCTTATATTTTTCATATTGTGTTGGATTTTTAGGAGCAACAGATCATTTTAATTGCATTATATTGGACTTATTTTTTGTAATAGACGATATTTTCAGCACAGGGACTAGGGCTGGACAATAATTCAATATCAATATGTATCGCGATATGACGTTGTGTGTTGTGCTGCGACTCACTGATGGTAGAAGGTGACCCTGTGAGAGTGTGTGTGACGGTAACAGGGCAAAGGCTCCGACAGCGGCCACCTGGGACGAGAGAGCGCGAGAGAGAGAGAGAGAGACAGAGAGAGAGAGAGCTGTGCTGTCTGATGCATTTATATCTGCTGATTACAGTCAGTAGCTCTGCTATCAGCCCAGAGAACAGTGTGTGTGTGTGAGTGTGAGTGTGTGTGTGTGTGTGTGTGAGTCTGTATGTGTGTG